TTTATTTATTTATTTGAGAGAGAGAATGAGAGAGAGAGAGCACATGAGAGGGGGGAGGGTCAGAGGGAGAAGCAGACTCCCCGCTGAGCAGGGAGCCCAATGCGGGACTCGATCCTGGGACTCCAGGATCATGACCTGAGCTGAAGGCAGTCACTTAACCAACTGAGCCACCCAGGTGCCCGAATTCTATTGGAATTAGATGTTCTAACACAATTTAGATGAATTCTATGACACTGAATCAGGATAATGATGGGCAGAGGAGAGACTCTGCTAAACTACCTGCTGAGTTCTTCTTTTCATATCTCAAGGAGAGTTGCCTGAAATAAACAGCTGATAAAACTTAAATATATTGGTCTTAGAAATGATAGAGGTGTCATGTTAATAATACAGAATATAATTCCAGAGGTTAAACATTTAAATCAAACCATGGCTGTCACTTAGAATTATTCAGATTCAAAAGCATTGGGAAATTTAGAATCAAATAGGGGGTATATTGAAATAGACGTTTCTAATTCCAATTTCACCTTCACCAATTCATATTTCATATCACTCTCCTCTTAAAATTTCAAGAAGTTACTCCCCTGATCAAAATCTTAATTCGTTTATAAATCTTTGTTTATGAAGGAATATGATTAAAATTTTTCAAAGAATTGACACTATAAAATGAATGGAATAGAACATGTGTGGGTATGCCTTCAAATATGTTTTAAAAACATTCATTCAAATTTATGAGGATATATATATATAAACAAACAAGATAGTTATAAATTGTGGTAAGATAGGAAGTAGACAGAATAATATGATAGTAATGGTGAAGGGAGAGGATCTAATTTAGATGGAGTGGTTAAGAAAAGCCTCTCTAAGGAGGTGACATTTTTGCTAAGACCTGAAACAAGAGAAGGAGCCAGCCTCGCAAAGAGCGAGGGAATGACCATTTTCTAGTAGAGGAAATAACAAGCACAAATGCTCTAAGATAAGAAAGAGCTTAAAGAGTTCTTAGAGATGAAAGGTTATGGCCTGGGCAGAGTGAGCAAGAAAAATGACATCAGATAAAGCTGGACATGTAGGGGCGCCTGGGTGGCTCAGA